GGAGCCTTCAGACCTGCCGGTATGAGGCACCTGGAGCCTTCAGACCTGCCGGTATGAGGCACCGGGAGCCTTCAGACCTGCCGGTATGAGGCACCTGGAGCCTTCAGACCTGCCGGTATGAGGCACCTGGAGCCTTCAGACCTGCCGGTATGAGGTACCGGGAGCCTTCAGACCTGCCGGTATGAGGCACCTGGAGCCTTCAGACTGCCGGTATGAGGCACCTGGAGCCTTCAGACTGCCGGTATGAGGCACCTGGAGCCTTCAGACTGCCGGTATGAGGCCCTGATGCCTTCAGACTGCCGGTATGAGGCACCTGGAGCCTTCAGACTGCCGGTATGAGGCACCTGGAGCCTTCAGACTGCCGGTATGAGGCACCTGGAGCCTTCAGACTGCCGGTATGAGGCACCTGGAGCCTTCAGACCTGCCGGTATGAGGCACCTGGAGCCTTCAGACCTGCCGGTATGAGGCACCTGGAGCCTTCAGACCTGCCGGTATGAGGCACCTGGAGCCTTCAGACCTGCCGGTATGAGGCACCTGGAGCCTTCAGACCTGCCGGTATGAGGCACCTGGAGCCTTCAGACCTGCCGGTATGAGGCACCTGGAGCCTTCAGACCTGCCGGTATGAGGCACCTAGAGCCTTCAGACCTGCCGGTATGAGGCACCGGGAGCCTTCAGACCTGCCAGTATGAGGCACCTAGAGCCTTCAGACCTGCCGGTATGAGGCACCTGGAGCCTTCAGACCTGCCAGTATGAGGCACCTGGAGCCTTCAGACCTGCCGGTATGAGGCACCTAGAGCCTTCAGACGTGCCGGTATGAGGCACCTGGAGCCTTCAGACCTGCCAGTATGATGCACCTGGAGCCTTCAGACGTGCCGATATGAGGCACCTGGAGCCTTTAGACCTGCCGGTATGAGGCACCTAGAGCCTTCAGACCTGCCGGTATGAGGCACCTAGAGCCTTCAGACCTGCCGGTATGAGGCACCTAGAGCCTTCAGACCTGCCGGTATGAGGCACCTGGAGCCTTCAGACCTGCCGGTATGAGGCACCTGGAGCCTTCAGACCTGCCGGTATGAGGCACCTAGAGCCTTCAGACCTGCCGGTATGAGGCACCTGGAGCCTTCAGACCTGCCGGTATGAGGCACCTAGAGCCTTCAGACCTGCCGGTATGAGGCACCTAGAGCCTTCAGACCTGCCGGTATGAGGCACCTAGAGCCTTCAGACCTGCCGGTATGAGGCCCTGATGCCTTCAGACTGCCGGTATGAGGCACCTGGAGCCTTCAGACTGCCGGTATGAGATAACTGGACCCTTCAATTACATTCTTTACTCCTGTGTTCTTGAGCCCAACCACTTGGGCTGGACGGTAGAGCGACCTTTACAGCCCCGCTCCTGTGCCAGGTAAGTCCACTACGGGCTCACCATACCCCGTGCTACTTGCAACTTTTGGTTCCCAGTAGCTGAGCCTAAAACAAGAACAACGGTAGAGCGACGGTCTCACTTCATGCAGGTCGGCGTTCAATTCCCCGATCGTCCAAGTGGCTGGCGACCATTCCTTTCCCCGTCCCATCCCAAATCCTTATCCTGACCCCTTCCAAGTGCTATATAGTCGTATTGGCTTGGCGCTTTCCCCCCTGATAATTTATTCCCTCCCTTGTTCTAGAGGCAGCCCGTCCTCCTAAGGTTTCCCAACGTCAAGAAACTGTCGTACTAAAGTGCTCTTATCCTAACCCACCAGAGGACCCAAAACAGAAAACGGGACAGTACGTCAATTTCGCGAACGGCTACCATTTTTTAGTACGACGATTTTTGCCCTTAGGAAGAGTATACGTCGAAATGCGACGCTGTATTAGGAGGCCGGGATCCTTGAGGACGTCACCATAATGGCCCAAAAGGCTGCCAGTGAAGGCGATGAGTCACAATAACGTGGCTAAAGTATGTTGACCAGACCACACACTAGAAGGTGAAGGGACGACGACGTTTCGGTCCGTCCTGGACCATTCTCAAGTCGACTGAGAATGGATTGAGAATCGACTTGAGAATGGTCCAGGACGAACCGAAACGTCATCGTCCCTTCACCTTCTAGTGTGTGGTCTGGCCAACAGGCTGTCAGTGCCGGCTACCGATCTCACGGCCCTGTGGGACTAACCATCCTGCGAGACTTCGAGTTCGTGACACAAAATGTGTAGACCTTCATATAGTCTACGACGGCTGCAAACATGACCAGTATGTAAGTACATTAATACAAAAATGAAAAAAAATTAAATAAAAGAGTCCCTACACGGAAACAGAAGTGTTGGGTTATCTGGATGGAAGGATATCAAGAGGGACAGAGGAGACAGAGGGAGGGGGCAAGGGTGATAGAGAGGGAGGGGAAGGGAGAGGGAGAGGGAAGAGGAGAGTCCGCCCAGCGGTAGCCAAAGCGAGACAATCAGTAAGGCAGAACACCAAAATGACGGTGACTTGGGAGTCCGCTTAGCTGTGTTATAACTCGACCCAACCACCATCTCCGTTAGGAAATGTAGATGTTTATCCCTCAGAATGTTCGGTAATACGTTTATTGCTTGTGATATGTATCTATGTACGTATTAACACGATGTACTGAACGGGGTGAGAATAGCTTGAGCTACCTCATCCCTTTGTGTGGATTTTACCTCAATAAACTTATTTCAATTTCAATTTCAACCATCTCCGTTGCTCCTTATGGGCGACGGGCAGGAGACGGGGTGCTGGGAGACGGGGGTGCTGGGAGACGGGGGGGGGGGTGCTGGGAGACGGGGGTGCTGGGAGACGGGGAGTAGTGGGAGGGACAGGTCTTTGGTGGTATGTACAGGAAAAACTGTGAAGGAAGGAGAGATGTGTGGAACAGTGGACGTCAAGACAATAACTTTCAGAATAACTATCAGAATAATTAGACTTTAGGACAATAACTATCAGAATAATTAGACTTTAGGACAATAACTATCAGAATAATTAGACTTTAGGACAATAACTATCAGAATAATTAGACTTTAGGACAATAACTATCAGAATAATTAGACTTTACAACAATAACTATCAGACTTTAGGACAATAACTATCAGAATAATTAGACTTTAGGACAATAACTATCAGAATAATTAGACTTTACAACAATAACTATCAGACTTTAGGACAATAACTATCAGAATAATTAGACTTTAGGACAATAACTATCAGAATAATTAGACTTTACAACAATAACTATCAGACTTTGGGACAATAACTATCAGAATAATTAGACTTCAGGACGATAACTTTTCTCTCGTTGTTCCTACCACACATATATTAAAAATTGCGCATTTAGGTGACTTCGATCATTTGAACGCATTCTACAGATATAAAATTTCCTTATGCCGGTGAACATATTTCTGTCATCTCTGGTGGTTCGTTGGCGTGTTCTGTTGTCCTCACTTTGAACATTGTTTCTGTTTGGTTAATTGCCTTCAGAATCTTCCATGTCTTGATCATGTCTCCCTTTGCTCCTCATCTTCTCTAGTGTGGCAAAGCCATAGTAAGGTGATGAGGCGGAAGCACCAAGTCAGTAAGATTACATACAACTTGGAAGGGATATGAGGACAAGGAGCTGGGATATGAGGGAGGGAAGTAATAGTGCCCAATCGCTTGTGTTTTACAGGTCGGGGTTCCTATGTATATATATATATATATATATATATATATATATATATATATATATATATATATATATATATATATATATATATATATTTTTTTTTTTTTTTTTTTCAGAAAGACCAGCAGAATGAGACAGAGACAGACTTACAGAAACACAGACAGTCAGACATAGAGACAGAAATAGGTCTGCAGAGAGACAGGTTCGACCAGAGGCAAAAAAAGAGACAGGAGGACAAAGAGAAAAAACTGAGAAAGACGCCAGACAAAGATACAGACAGAGGCAGACAAAGAGAAAGACAGAAACATATACAGAGAGATCGAGAAAGAGAGAGAAGGAAAAGGGAAAGAGAGAGAAGGAGTGAGAGAGGGAAGGGATGAGAGAGCAAGTGGGAGGGGGGGAGGGGAAAGGGAACTATCTGGGGGAAAGCACCAAGCCATTGCGACTATATAGCACTTGGAAGGGGGGTAAGGATAAGGATTTAGGATGTGACGGGAGGGAGGGAATGGTGCCCAACCACTTGGACGGTCGGGGATTGAACGCCGACCTGCATGAAGGTCCCTGACTATAATTCTTGCATCTGGTATATTATTACCAGAAGTGTTCTACTGGTTCTTGATAGTGTGAAGCAGCCTACCATGGAGAAGGAAAAGGTCTCCGGCGACGATGGCCGCCACCAGAAGAAAACCAAGTGTGTCCGCTTCGCAGATAATATCATCAGTCAGGTGCACGTCCTCGAGGACTGGGCCTACGAGAGTTGGGTGTTTAGGAAAGAGGGAAAGAACTGGATTGCCGCCGGCTCATTCCGCCGCCGCTTTGGCAGAAGGTGCCGCGCGACCGAAGACTTGCTGAAGGCCGACAAGGTCTTTGACCTCCTGCACAGGGAGAAAATATTTGCCCAAAGATTTATGGATTCTTCACTCACACACTGATTTGTTAATTTATGATATGTAATGTTTTTTGTTTTAATAAACATAGTCCCATAAGTGCTTTTTATTTCGTTAACAAACGGTGTGTGTGTGTGTGTGTGTGTTTGCGTGCGCGCGTGTGTGTGTGCGCGCACGCGCGTGTGCCAGATGGTGCTAATGAGCGCTGCGGTGGCAGACTTCCTCCGCTCGTCTAACGATATAATTTTCTATTCACGAACCCAAAATCTGAACACATACATATTTTTCCCCCCACCTTCCATCCCATCAGCCTTTAGTGATGGGGGGACCGCTGACCACCCGTCCTGCGGTCGCCGCTGGCCGCAGCACTCACCACCTGCACCCGCCGGACGCCGCCGGGCGGTCCTCCTCAGACGCAAATATTTACGTCGAGCGCGACAAATGATCCTTTCCTCTCTTCCTGTTCTTAATTTGGACCCTTCAGACCCCGGCCTGAGGGAGGAGAAGTAATATGATGTTTTGACAATCGCTTCTGATTCAAGAGGTGGCGTGGTTGATGGTGTGCCGGCGGCCATTGATGTGGTCCCGTCCATTGATGAGGTAACTCAACGCTGGACCGAAGAGATATATGAAGGAATGCAATGTTTTTGTTGTATCTGGACGCCTGGTGCTCTGCATCAGGTTTGTTTATGTGAGCCGCTGAGTCCAGGGAGTCTGAGTCCTGGGAGTCTGAGTCCAGGGAGTCTGAGTCCAGGAAGTCTGAGTCCTGGGAGTCTGAGCCCTGGGAGTCTGAGTCCAGGGAGTCTGAGCCCTGGGAGTCTGAGTCCAGGGAGTCTGAGTCCAGGGAGTCTGAGCCCTGGGAGTCTGAGTCCAGGGAGTCTGAGTCCAGGGAGTCTGAGTCCAGGGAGTCTGAGTCCAGGGAGTCTGAGTCCAGGGAGTCTGAGTCCTGGGAGTCTGAGTCCAGGGAGTCTGAGTCCAGGGAGTCTGAGTCCAGGGAGTCTGAGTCCAGGGAGTCTGAGTCCTGGGAGTCTGAGTCCAGGGAGTCTGAGTCCAGGGAGTCTGAGTCCAGGGAGTCTGAGTCCAGGGAGTCTGAGTCCAGGGAGTCTGAGCCCTGGGAGTCTGAGTCCAGGGAGTCTGAGTCCAGGGAGTCTGAGTCCAGGGAGTCTGAGTCCAGGGAGTCTGAGTCCAGGGAGTCTGAGTCCAGGGAGTCTGAGTCCAGGGAGTCTGAGGCCTGGGAGTCTGAGCCCAGGAAATCTGAGCCCTGGGAGTTTTTACCCATTAAATCTAGCCCTTTTAGTTTGAGCGCTTCTTATCTGAGCCAAGTACACAAGCGGCCTCACCATCGTCAATAAACACCGTCTATAATCCCTATCATCCTAACATTAATGCCTTATACAGTTGTGTTCAGCTGCTCAACACACACACACACACACACACAATGTAATGTTTACAGTCAGTCTGCATACATTACCACTTGTAACTTGTAGCCAACTAGAGAGATAAAGCTGCGAGTCTCGTCGCCAGCGAGTCATCCACCTTCTGGATGAAGTGTCTCGTCACCAGCGAGTCATCCACCTTCTGGATGAAGTGTCTCGTCGCCAGCGAGTCATCCACCTTTTGGATGAAGTGTCTCGTCGCCAGCGAGTCATCCACGTTCTGGATGAAGTGTCTCGTCGCCAGCGAGTCATCCACCTTCTGGATGAAGTGTCTCGTCGCCAGCGAGTCATCCACCTTCTGGATGAAGTGTCTCGTCGCCAGCGAGTCATCCACCTGCTGGATGAAGTGTCTCGGATGCCAGAGACTGGCGACACTCCTGGGGTTCCGGGTTCGTGTTGTATACCGTAGTATTAACTCATAAATCGAGTCCCGACCAATCAGGAAACATCAGAGAAGTCCCCCCCCTCCCTCTCTCTAGGAAAGAATTACGTTCGCTACATATATCAATACAAGACTTTCTGGTCGCGATATTAGCAGGTATAAATGACCGAACTATCGTAATATTACCGATAGTGGACGCTTGAGCGGTCATTCAGGGCGAGAGAGGGGAGCAGCGGCTTGTAGTTATATAGGGTTGACTTGCTACCCATGGGCTACATTCACGAAAGCACTTACGAACCTGTACATCTTTTCACAATCTTTGGCGGATTTGTTTACAATTATTAAACAGTTAATGAGCTCCGAAGCACCAGGAGGCTGTTTATAACAATAACAACAGTTGCTTGGGAAGTTTTCATGCTTGCAAACTGTTTAATAAATGTAACCAAAGCCATCAAAGATTGAGGAAAGATGTACACGTTCGTAAGTGCTTGCGTAAGTGCTTTCTTGAATCTAGCCCCAGAGCGCTAACTACCTTCGACTCCTTGTATAGAGGTAAGGATGGGGGTGGGGTGGGGGTGGGGGAGGGGGAAGGGGTGGGGGTGGGGAAGGGGAGGGGATGGGGGAAGGGGGGAAAGTCCATGGCTAGGGAGGAAAAAGGTAATAATGCGCTAGGAACTTGAGGGCGGTAAAAGAAAAGGTTAAGTAACTTTCTAGATGAATGGTTGTGAAACCGCAAGAAAAACGCATCAAACACTTTTCAGGGGGCCAGGTGGTTGTGTGTGTGTGTGTGTGTGTGTGTGTGTGTGTGTGTGTGTGTGTGTGTACTCACCTAGTTGAGCTATGGCTCTTTGGTCCCGCCTCTCAACCGTCAATCAACAGGTGTACAGATTCCTGAGCCTATTGGGCTCTATCATATCTACACATGAAACTGTGTATGTGTGTGTGTGATGTACCTTTAAGGATTTTTCGAAGCAAAAAGTTGGACTTGTAGACCTGGGAGCCTTACCTTTCATGCAGCTACCACCATAGACGATACGAAGGGTTGTATAGTGTGCGACAAGAGCTAGCGGGGATGCTAAAATATCCCCATCTCACAGGATGGTAAGTCATACAGTACCACGTGCGGTCAACAGGCTGCACTGACCAACTTTGGGTGCATTAGTAGGCATCCATCAGTCTCAGGAGACTATAGAGTTGCGCTCTGGGTGTTCGTCTGGAGTGGAATGCCTTCTGAAGATGTATTATCAAATACGAAAGTTCTTAAGGAAATTCCTGTTTCAATTTTTCCTCCGTGGTCTGACACTGTCACATTTTTCATCACGTGTTAATTTTCGTGATTTACACATACACACACACACACACACACACACATATATATATATGTCAATGTGAGAGAAAGGGTTGTACAGTGTGCGACAAGAGCTAGCGGGGATGCTAAAATATCCCCCATCTCACAGGATGGTAAGTCATACAGTACCACGTGCGGTCAACAGGCTGCACTGACCAACTTTGGGTGCATTAGTAGGCATCCATCAGTCTCAGGAGACTATGGAGTTGCGCTCTGGGTGTTCGTCTGGAGTGGAATGCCTTCTGAAGATGTATTATCAAATACGAAGTTCTTAAGGAAATTCCTGTTTCAATTTTTCCTCCGTGGTCTGACACTGTCACATTTTTCATCACGTGTTAATTTTCGTGATTTACACATACACACACACACACACACACACACATATATATATATATATATATATATATATATATATATATATATATATATATATATATATATATATATATATATATATATATATATACATATATTATTAAATATGACCGAAAAAGTAAGATTAATAATTCTAACACGAATTTTCTCAATCTTTCGTACATTATGCTTCACTGTTGGAGGTAAATCAAAAATCACTTCTCCAAAATTCATTTTTATTTCTAGTCTGACGCGACACGGGCGCGTTTCGTAAAACTTATTACATTTTCAAAGACTTCACAAATACACAACTGATTTAAAACTTGCGTTTCCCTGATTTTATATCTACATTTGAGTGAGGTGGGAAGGGTGATGTGGCATTACATTTGAGTGAGGTGGGAAGGATGATGTGGCATTAACACAAGACAGAACACTAGAGGATATTAATAGGGTATTAAAAGTATCAACACAAGACAGAACAGAAACAATGGGTATTGAATAGAAGTGTTTGTAGATATAAAATCAGGAAACGCAAGTTCTAAATCATTGTGTATTTGTGAAGTCTTTGAAAATGTAATAAGTTTTACGAAACGCGCCCGTGTCGCGTCAGACTAGAAATAAAAATGAATTTTGGAGAAGTGATTTTTGATTTACCTCCAACAGTGAAGCGTAATGTACGAAAGATTGAGAAAATTCGTGTTAGAATTATTAATCTTACTTTTTCGGTCATATTTAATAATATATGTCTACGGGAAAGACTGCTACCAAAATATACTAATATATATACATATATATGGTAGAAAGAACCGGGAAAGAGGGAGGATGCAGTAAACAGTGAATTGAGAAATTGATTACATGAATAACCTTAACTACTACTATTATCTCTGGTGCCACGCCAAGATGGCCAATGAATAAATATAACCACATTATTCATCTTGCCTCTCTCTCTTACGAGTTATAATCCCACCTCTACTACCCACCAGGAAGAGTCAGACAAGATATTAAAGCTAATGGCTCTAGAAGGAGCCATAATTAGCTTTATGTCTAGAAAACGTAGATATCTGTGATTTGCTACTTTTCATAGTTACCCCTTATTTTGTACATTTTTTTTTCGGAGGGGGGACCATACCATACACATTGAGACGCTAGAGCGACAGTCTACCTTCACCTAAATAAAGAATTATTATTATTATTATTATTATTATTATTTAGCCAGCTTTGCCCGGCACCTGGCAGGTTCAAGTATGTTTACTGAGACAAGGAAAAAATACATCTTAAAGGGAAAGAGTAACTTAGGTTATTTCTACCTCCCTTACCCGGCAGATTAGCGTCTGTGTGCGAAACAGCGGTGGCATATATCGGTAGATATTATATACCTGCGGCGCCCCTGGGCGACACAGGTCAGGAGTGCCACGCCCTTCATGACCTGACGGGGGCCGTGTGAAGACTAATACACTGAGGATAGTGTACAGAGACTGATTTAGAGGCAATTAACACTAGCTGTTTCGTAGCCTCCACGGCCCTCCTTGCCTCTGCCGGAATTAGGAGGTGGGGTCACGTTGGTTCATTATCCCGCCGCTAGGAGTAATGAATGGTGAGATTGGTTCATTATCCCGCTGCCAGGAACAATGAATGACGAGATTGGTTCATTATCCCGCTGCCAGGAACAATGAATGACGAGATTGGTTCATTATCCCGCTGCCAGGAACAATGAATGCCAAGATTAGTTCATAATCTCTCCGCCACCTGTATCCTTCACTTCACCTGGACATCACAAACCACTTACTGATTGCAAAACGACAATCTTTACAATAAAGTAACATAAGGGGGAAAGTATTATAGTCTACGAGAGACGTCGCGCCGAGTCATGGCCGGATCCGCACCTCCTGAACACTCGCATTTGTCAACAACTTCTCACAAGTGAATCATGAAATCAACCCGTCTCGGAGTCCCGAACAAATCTGATGCGTCACTCACACACACACACACAGTAATCCTGTAACGGATTACAGGATTACCGGAGAAGGTAATCCCGCAGCTTCGCTAGACGAGGCGCTCCAGTATTACACTGTATTTTCAGAATCGATTACAGAAAATGAATCGCTGTTGAGGTACAATCAAGCGGTAATACGAGTCTGAATGGTTTTAGCCGTCATGGAATCCCATCTCCCGCTGATTCTGGAACACAATATATAAGTCTGAAGAGTTCTGATTGGCGGCAAAAAAAGAGAAATAAAAAAATTTTGATCACCTCACGTCGGGCGCACCCTGGCTCCACTCAGCGATGGCCGGCCTGCGGTAAAGGCAATAGAACACATTTCTGGTAGAGACTCTTGGCCCTCCTGGTACGTCCAAGGAGGACCCGGGCGTTCTTTGGGTGACGAAACAGTTATGGGGAGTCGCTGAATGTTGTCTGACGACATATGTATGTTTGTACAACATATGTATGTTGTTTGACGACGCTCATATGCGCATTGATGCCCAGTTGCCAGCACAGCAGGCCTTGTGACCTTGGTGCCAGCACAGGACTCGGTCGCCCAGGTGCTCACGCCTGCTCGGCCCTTTCCGAATATTGGCTTGTAACCTGTCTGTATGTGAACATTACATAATTAAACATTATGCGCTACTTCAGAATTAGGAAAATAAAGAGAGAGAGAGAGAGAGAGAGAGAGAGAGAGAGAGAGAGAGAGAGAGAGAGAGAGAGAGAGAGAGAGAGAGAGAGAGAGAGAGAGAGAGAGAGAAGAGAGAGAGAGAGTGTT